GAGAGAGAGAGAGAGAGAGAGGGCAGACAGACAATGAGACTGTCTCTTCAGGGTTGATATTCTTATAGTTCATATATTTATCCCATTAGTCAACAAATACTTGTTAACACCTATCAGCTGTCAGGGACTGCTCTGCTACATGGACATATTATTGAAAAGAATGGATATTAATAATTTAATGTGGTATTTGAAAACAGGCAAGCCCAGGCACAGTGAGGGACCCACAGGAGAGAGGATCCTCCTCCAAAGCCTGACTTTAAGGTCTTTTAGGTGGAGTAAATTGTTTAGGTGCTGTTTGTGTCACATGAAGCACAGGGGAACGAATGGGAACGAGAAAGCACTCTTTGGCCTAATGAGCATCAGGCAAAGACAGCATAGTTAGATAACTATCTGCAAGTGAGTTAGAGGAAACTAAGGGAAGACAAGAGTAGACACTTAGAAGAGGACCAAGCCTTTTTTGGGGAAGATATATGGGGAATAGGTTGAAGGTTGGGATGCCATCACGAAGGCTGCTAGGGGTGAACCTTAGCGATGACCTTTGAATTTCAGCTGAGAGGTTTGAATCTGATTAGGAAGTCTTTGGAGTGACACTGAACCTCAGGATGAGCTGGGGAGAGGAGGAGAAGTAAGGAAAGGGCATTGAATTTGGAAGATCTTAGATTTAAGAGGAGAGGACTTGGATAGTTCTCATTTTTCAGGTGAAGAAGTTAGGGAGTAGGGGTGCTAGTCCTCTCTAATTGACGTTTACCTTGTTTCTTGGCAGTGTGGTGAAGGAAGAAATTTCAGATGACAGTGCTCGCCTCCCCTGCTTCAACGGAAGGGTGGTATCCTGGGTAAGGGGCCCTGGCTCTGAGGCCCAGCCCCTCTGCATTGCTGAGCTCCTCCAAGTGTCACTTTATTCTGTAGCTCTCTTCCTGCTTGGTTGCTAGAGGCCCTGGCTCTTTGCCACCCTGCCTGTTTGAAGGGCCAGCTGGAGCCCCACAGGCTTCTGGAGCTTCTGTTGGGCTGCTTTATTGTGTTTTAGTTTCAGAACCTGTCCCCTTTTTTAGACCTTTCAATTTATTCTCCTATGCCATATATCTCACTTCCCAACTGAGCCATTTTTTTTCTCTAAATAACTTGCACCCCTTTAGCTAGTGTCATCAGATAACCCCCAGCCTGAGATGGCTTCCACAGCCCATGAGCCTAGGGCAGAACTGGTGCCTCCACCTCCACCACTACCCCCTTTGCCACCAGAAAGGACCAGTGGCATTGGGGACTCCAGGCCTCCATCTTTCCAGTGAGTACTCAGGATTCTAGTCCAGGGGAGAGAAATGAAGTCCATATCTTCTGGGAGGGGAAGCCAAGCATTTGGAGTTGCAGCCCTGCCCCACTGACTTGACTGGAAACCATCTCTGCCCATCTAGCCCTAATGTGTCCAGCAGCCGTGAAAATCTGGAGCCTGAGACAGAAACAGAGTCAGTAGTGTCTTTGCGACGGGAGCGACCTCGCAGGAGAGACAGCAGTGAGCATGGTGGTGAGAGGGCCTGTCCCGAGCCTGGGTAGATTAGAAGTTGGGGAAAGGTTGGGCCAAATCTATGCTTTGATGGGGGTCAGGAGCCTGAGGTCTGGTTCCTGAGGTATCTGTTCATATCCAGTGGGGGGCCACCGACCCAGTGGCCCTTCGAGGCTGGAACGCCACCTGGCTGGGTACGAGAGCTCCTCTACCCTGATGACTAGTGAGTTGGAGAGCACCAGCCTGGGGGACTCGGATGAGGATGACACCATGAGCAGGTAGGGCTCCCCTGATCTGTCCTCTTCCAGCTAGTCCTCTTATCCTTTCCTTGACCACATCACCATATGCCCTCTCTCGAAACCTCTCCTCAGGTTTAGTAGCTCCACGGAGCAGAGCAGTGCATCCCGCCTCCTTAAGCGTCACCGACGGCGGAGGAAACAGCGACCCCCCCGCCTGGAGAGGGTAAAGGGTTCTTCTGGGACAGCTGGTCCTTAGAGAAGTTGAGGCCGTGGGTCTTGGTTTGGGCGCTACAAGGGCATCTACAGTGAGAATCACAGAACTTGTCCCTGGGTTGTTGAAGGCACCTTTTTACCTTTTTCCTACTACAGACCTCCTCCTTCAGCAGTGTCACCGACTCTACAATGTCTCTCAACATCATCACAGTCACCCTAAATATGGGTAAGGAGGGAGCCTGGGGTTGGGGGTTGGGAGGACCTGGTTTCCAGGACTCCTGGGGGTCATGTGGCTGGGGCTTCCCTGGTCACATGGACTCCCTCCACAGAGAAGTACAACTTCCTGGGCATCTCCATTGTGGGCCAAAGCAACGAGCGGGGAGACGGTGGCATCTACATCGGCTCCATCATGAAGGGTGGGGCTGTGGCTGCTGATGGGCGCATCGAACCAGGGGACATGCTTCTGCAGGTGTGCTGGGGTAGGGCCACCAGCGTGACCCAGGTAGGGGCTTCTGGCCTCGTCTGCCCTGCCTCTGACCCATTCCCTTGTCTTGCAGGTTAATGACATGAACTTTGAGAACATGAGCAACGATGATGCAGTTAGGGTGCTGAGGGACATTGTGCACAAGCCAGGGTGAGCCTTTGCTGCTGTTGGGCCCATAGTCCTTTTGGTTTTATCTTTTCTCTTTTTTGTAATTTTGAAAGCAGTAAAGCTTAACATTCACCTAAGACATAAGACAAAACTCGTAACTATGAGTAGTCGAGTGATATGAATAGTACCCATGTCACTGTGGCCTGGATCATGAAATAGAAAATTGTTCCCAGAATTTCCCCAAGTGTCCCTTTCTGTTCCCAGCCTCATTTTCCCGATAGGTGATAAGTTCTCTTCTGATTTTGGTTGAGTGAAGAATAAAGATAATCTCTACCTCATTTAGTAGTTATACCACCAATTTGTGTATTGTTAAATAACGCGATGTAGTTTTGCCTGTTTTTGGGCTTTTCCCTGAATAGAACTGTACAGTGTTCTCTAGTCATAAGTGCTGTTTGAAGAGTAGTCACATTGACGCTTCATCCACATGGTGGTGCTATCCACCCTCACTGTCTGCTCAGCCATGTCTGCTCTTTCTTCTCTACCTGTCTGTTCCTCCACCCATTCTCATTCATTAAGTAGGCCTTCCACAATCCTTGCTTGACTGGTCTTCTCTTCCTCACAGCCCCATCGTGTTGACCGTGGCCAAGTGCTGGGATCCCTCTCCACAAGCTTATTTTACTCTTCCCCGAAGTGAGTCATGGCCAGAAAGGCCTTTAGGTCACAGGGATTGGGTGGAGAAAGGGCTAAGGCAGAGGTGGGACAGGCATTGAAGTTAAGAAAGGAAAGGGCTGGCTTTTTGGGATCTGCAGTTGACTATCTTGGTGGCCTTCTCTTAATCTGTCCCAGATGAGCCCATCCAGCCAATTGACCCTGCTGCCTGGGTCTCACACTCTGCTGCACTGACTGGTACCTTCCCAGCCTATCCCGGTTCCTCATCCATGAGCACCATTACATCTGGGTCCTCTTTGCCTGATGGTGAGCCCCAGACATGCCTTACCCCAAGCTCCCTGGAAGGCCTTCCAGTTGTGGTGATTGATCTCTTTCTGTTGTGTGACCTGTGTCCTACATCTGATTACCCATTGTTTCCTGTCAGGCTGTGAGGGCCAAGGTCTCTCCATCCACACAGACATGGCATCTGTGACCAAGGCCATGGCAGCTCCAGAGTCTGGACTGGAAGTTCGAGACCGCATGTGGCTCAAGATCACCATTCCTAATGCCTTTCTCGGTATGGCTGTTTCCTGAGCAGAGGGCGTGGGGTTGGGGAAAGGCGGCCAAGGCCTGGAATGGGCCAGGCAGGGATGAGGACGGGAGCCAGAAAGGAGAACCGGAGGCCATTCTCTGCTCTGGGTGATTCCAGGCTCTGATGTGGTTGACTGGCTCTACCATCACGTGGAGGGCTTTCCTGAGCGGCGAGAGGCCCGCAAATATGCCAGTGGGCTGCTTAAGGCGGGCCTCATTCGACACACCGTGAACAAGATCACCTTCTCTGAGCAGTGCTACTACGTCTTCGGAGACCTAAGTGGCGGTTGTGAGAGTTGTGAGTCCCTTTGTCCTAGCCCTGGGAGAAGAACTATGGCTGCCTCGTCTTGCCTCTTCCAACTCCAGCAGACCTAGCTTAGACAACAGCCAGGGTCATTGTGTCCTGCACTTCACCCTGTGCTGATCTAGTTGGAGGACAAGTGGGGCTTAAGTTCACTACATTCTGCTGGACAAGCCGTGTGCCAGGGTGGGGTTGGGTTTGCCGGGGAGGTGCTTTTTCCTGAGTTTCATAAAAATAATACAGGACTTGTAGCCACTCTTAAGCCACTCTTGTTCTTTCCCTGATGGTAATGGCAGGTGGGGGAAGTTCCTGTCAGAGACATTTGTGATTCCATTTTAAACCCCCTTAATGGATGTTAATTTTCCTGTTTTTTCTTTATTCAATGTGTTGGTGTCCCAGTCTTTTTTTTTTTTTTTTTTAAAGATTTATTTATTTATTCATACAGAACTGTGGTACAGGCCAGAGATGTGGAGGGTGAGAGGATTCACCAGGGACAGAGTGGGGAGCAGAACAGGCAGGTCGACGTAGTACACTGCTGAGGGGAGCAGCGGGCGGGTCAGGAGAGGTCTGCCATGCCATGTGGTCACCTCTGGGGCAGGCGGGGATCGAACTCATGCGGAAGCAGCTTTAGATTCTCAGTGCTGTGCTTTAACCCGCTGCGTCACCAGGGAGGGCCTGTCCCAGTCTTTTAAAGCAGTGAGTCTGTTCTCTTGCTTTCCAGACCTAGTCAACCTGTCTCTGAACGACAATGATGGCTCCAGTGGGGCCTCGGACCAAGACACCTTGGCCCCTCTACCAGGGGCCACTCCCTGGCCCCTGCTGCCCACCTTCTCCTACCAGTACCCAGCTCCACATCCCTACAGCCCGCAGCCCCCACCGTACCATGAGCTCTCATCCTACACCTACGGTGGTGGCAGTGCCAGCAGCCAGCACAGTGAGGGTAAGTCTCTGCTGGATACTGGCACAGGGTCTGAGGAGGGGCCTGAGGGGAAACTAGGGAGGAGAGGTTGGATGAGTCTGGGGAGCCAGGGGACCCTCACCCAATGCTCAGTCGCCTCCATTCCTTCTCCCCCCACAGGGAGCCGGAGCAGTGGGTCAACTCGAAGTGATGGGGGGGCAGGGCGTACAGGGAGGCCCGAGGAGCGGGCCCCTGAGTCCAAGTCTGGCAGTGGCAGTGAGTCGGAGCCTTCCAGCCGGGGGGGCAGTGTTCGGCGGGGTGGGGAACCTGGTGGAACTGGTGATGGGGGTCCTCCCCCATCCAGGGGCTCTTCAGGGGCTGCTCCCAATCTTCGAGCCCACCCAGGGCTCCATCCCTATGGACCACCTCCTGGCATGGCTCTCCCCTATAATCCCATGATGGTGGTCATGATGCCCCCACCCCCACCTCCAGTCCCCCCAGCAGTGCAGCCCCCAGGGGCTCCTCCTGTCAGAGACCTGGGCTCTGTGCCTCCAGAGCTGACAGCCAGCCGCCAGAGCTTCCACATGGCCATGGGCAACCCCAGTGAGTTCTTTGTGGATGTCATGTGAGCCCACTGTGGGGCCCAGTTGGACGGCACTCGGTTTGTCCCGCAGTGCTTGGTGCTCCCGTTCTGGGTGTCTTGTCCATCACAGGCTCACTACTCCTCTGGTGCCTGGGCTCAGCCTCTCCTGTGGGCTGCTGCCTGTTGTGAGGCTGTCGCCACTGTGACTTAACCAGCAGTGCCTGGTTCCTCCCCTCCCCTCCGGGATGTACAAGGGACCTTTGTTTTTAGCTTTACTATTTCTTATAAGCCTTTGGGGGGTTAAAATAGGTTTTCATACATTTTTCAGACTATATTTTTAGTAGACATTTTCTCTTTTATATGAAGAATTCCTGTCTCTTGGGCCCTTTCTAACCCCAAAATGTGACCTCCTACTCTGTTCACCTAGTCAGCTCTGTCGTGCACAGAATGGGGCAGTGGTCAGTGGTACCCTGGGAGGAAGGGGGCCTATTACATTAGACAGAAGTGAAAGGAAGCTGGGGTGTTTGGTATTTGGGGGCTGTGTAGCTGCTTTTGTTATCCTATTTATTTTAGTTACATGTATAAAACACCAAAAATAAAAGCAATAGGGGCAAACTTCCCATGCCTCTGACTCCTTTCTTTGGGAGGGAGGCAGGCAGCGAGGTGAAGGAGATGTGGCAGCAAAGCATGACTTGTTAGGAACTTTATTTGTGAGGCAATAAGTGCTCCTTGTGAGCAGGCACACTCCTGGGGCAAAGCCCTTCAAGGCAGAAGCAGGGTCTGTGAGAATGGAGCCTGGGTTTTGGCTTGAGAGAAGGCACATTTTGGACGAGGCCCTGGCTGGGGGAATTCAGAAGCCAAGGGGGTTGTTGGTGACCACGCCACCCCGCTCCACCAAGGCTTTGGAGATGCTTTTGAAGTTCCGGAAGAGTTCCTGCTGCTGGGGGTCAGACTGCACAGCAGCCATGTTCTCTCGGATCCGTGCTGCGGCCTGCGGACAGAGGGGGTGGCATTTAGGCCTATGCCTTGAGCCTCTCACTTGCATATGGTAACCCAGAATCTCACCTCGATACACCAGCTGTCACAGAGCATTTTCTCATGCTGGGCTGTGGGGTAGCCTTCACTCAGGGATCTTGAGGCCCTGGTGGAAAGCAGGAGAAAAATCTGGGCTGTGAGACTAGCCCAGGACACCCTTCTGCCCACCCCTGCGGCTCAGGCGTTCCACACAACCTCCTCACCTGGAGAGAACCACCACCATGGCATAGAGGTCAATGGCACTGTCTGCCAGACGCTGCAGCAGAAACTGTTCATCTAACAGGTAGATGGGATGGGTAAGGAGGGGTCATTAGTTGGAGGGGGTGGGGTGGGAATGAGGTAGAGGAGTTTACTCACTGACAATGTCCTTCTTATGTTTTATCAGTTTGGCTTCCACCACAGTGGAAAACTGCTCCAGGGCTTGTACTGCCTGAAGAGATGAGGAAGGTACTCAGGTCTCAGAGGGGACCTAGCCCCACCAACCCTAGACACAGGCTGTCCCCCATGACTACTTACCAGCTCACCGCTCCGACTCAAGTCCTTGTGGATGACTCCACTGAGGCTCAGGCCACTGCCCAGCCCTGCCCGCCTGAGAGGAAGGGGGAGAGTAACTGGTGAGTTGCCACACCCTGCCTGCCCTGCCCTGGCCTGGCCCCTAAACTTACCGCCTCAACTGTTTGCCTGCCTCTCCTAGCAGAAGGCCTGCATTCCCAAAGGGATTCTTTAGGGCATTGCCAAGCCCAGACAGTTCCTTTCCTTTGTCCTGCGAGGGAGGAGAATATAACAGTTAGGACTGGCAGTCAGAACTTGCTGTGTCCCCTTCCCCCTCCTATTCTCCTTCCTCTCACCATACAGCCTTGTAGAGCCACAAACAGCCGCAGAATGTCATTCGTCCCCTCAAAGATCCGGAAGATGCGAAGATCTCGGAGCACGCGCTCTACACCTGGCTCCTACCGTAGGGGAAGAGAGATTACGGTCCCTGCTGAGACGAACCTCCCTACTTCCGCACAGAACCTTCCTGTACCTTCATGAAGCCCATGCCTCCCATGATTTGGATGCATTCATCTGTCACCTTCCAGGCTGCCTCCTAGAAACAGCAACAGTACCAAAACACATAAGATTGGTTTTTGAGTCAAGCTCAGAACAGGACTCTTCCCTCCCCACAGGCCTGGGACCTCACCGAGCCAAAGATTTTGCTGATGGCGGCCTCTATTTGAAAGTCCTTGGATCCCTGGTCCATGTTGGCACTCACCATGTAAGCCATGGACTGAGGTTGCATGGTTAGGACAAAGAAATGGAAATGAAAAAGGGTTGCCTCAGACTCCACCTGATCATCCAGTTCTCCTAGACCAGGTCTGACCTAGCTCCCCACATCTTTCTTGCATTCATTTTCTAACTCCATGTGTCAGGCACACTGAAATATTTGGGCCCTGAGTCAATTCATTAGGGGCTTCCAGGTATATTTGCTTTCTTGAAAGGGGTGAAGATGGTAGAATAAAGTCTGGGAACCTCTGGAAGTACCTCAGCAGAACATACGGCTTTGCCCCTGCTGCAGATGCTGACTATGCCTCCCCGCATCCCCTAGGGCATTGGTGTAAAGCTGGAGACCCACTGCCCCAGGTGCTGCTGGGGGTTGTAGTCTAACCGACTGAGAAGACTATAAGCTCTGGAAAGAAAAGGGTGGAGAGATCCTCACTTCGGTCACATATTGTAGCATAGCCATTCGGGCCAGCTTCTCCTGGATCAGCCCAAAGTTGTGAATTTTCTCTCCAAACTGGGTACGATTTGCAGCATGATCCACCTGGAAGAGAACACTTTTGTCCTGCTAGGCTCCGTAGGAGAGGGGCTGGGTTGGGCTTGGTGGGCTGGGCTATGGCCATAGCCAAAATTTCAGTCCAGCTGGATGGAGCCCTAACGTATGAGGTCTGAAGCAACTGGCAAGGAATGGGAGTCTCTGGTAGAGGGAGTACCCATAGGGGAACAGGGACACCTCGACAGGTGACTTAGAGTCAGACGAGCTAGGAACTCAGGCAGATACTCACCGCCTTAGCAATGATGCCTTTCATGGTGCCTGAAAGGGCTGCTGCCATGCCAAATCTTCCATTGTTGAGAATGTGCATGGCGACCTTGAAGCCACCCCCCACTTCTCCCAGCACATTCTCTGCTGGCACCCGCACTCCATCAAAGTACACCTCTGCTGTGTTTGAGGCCTTGATGCCCATCTTCTTCTCAGGGGGCCCACTGTGACAGGGCAGAGTAGAGAAACAGGTACATTCAACAAGTTGCCACAGGGAAAACTTTCCTCATTCCTTAGGAACCAGGACAAGCTACAACGCAGAGCCTCAAGGGATAGCCATTGTATCCTGCATAGCTTGAGGGCTGAGGAGGCCTGGCTATATCCTGCTAAGCATGGGTGGGGCTCATTGGTTGCTGACACCAAAACTTTAAATCATCTCTATACACAGTCTAAAGGGGAACATGATGTCCACTTGCTTTGGCTTTTGCACACAGTCCCAGAGTGACCTGGAATAGCATCTGCCAAGGAGCTCAGTACTACCCCTCCCCTGGCTCCACCCCTTTTTTTCCCCACACCCACTCACTGGGTAACACCACCAAAGCTCCTCTCCACCACAAAAGCTGTGATCTTCTCTTTCACGGCTCCTGTGGCTGTATCTGTAACTGGTGTCTTGGCAAAGACGGTGAAAATATCTGCCAGTCCCCCATTACTGTGGGAAAATGAGGGGGCAGTCAGGGTGCAGAGTACACAGCAGTGTGGCTTAGAGTTGGAGAGAGGTAGTGAGCAGGGGAAAAATGAGAGGAAGATTGCCTGATCCAAATCTTGCTTCCATTGAGGGTATAGTATTTTCCACAGGGGCTGGGCACAGCTGAGGTCCGGATAGAGGCTGCGTCTGACCCACTCGAGGGCTCAGTTAGACAGAAAGCGGCCAGAGTCTCCCCTGTCAGGGAGAGTGCTCTTTTATACCAGGTGCTGATGGACAAGGCCCCCAACTGTCCCCCCAGGGCAGTCCCCCCTGAACACCTTTGGCAAAATCTAATTTCACTTTCACACTTCCTCACTAGCATTCTGTGATGCTTTTCTAGACTCTTTCCCCAATGGACAAGCCTACCTATGTTGTACCACTGGCCTCACTTGTGCCCAACCCAGGCCACCCCCAATTTCTGGGTCTCCTAAGGCTGCCTCACCAGATGCCAGTTTGGGGAGGTATTTTTCCTTTTGGGCCTTTGTGCCAAAGAGCAGGATGCCTTTGAAACCGATGCTCTGATGGGCCCCCAGGGTGATGCCCACGCCAAGGTCATGCATGCCCACGATCTCCACCAGGCGCGCATACTGGAAGGGAAGCAGGAATCCAGAGCTGTAACTTGGCCCTTAGCAGTCAAGTGGGCAACAGGTCAGGACCTGGACATTCCCACAGAGTGGAGAGGGTGAGCCAAGAAAAAGGGCACAGCAAAGGACACTGACAGGGAATACTGGCGTCAGTCCCAGGTTTTGGTGGGAGGGAGTTCTACCCTATTGTCAGGCAGCCCCCCCGGCCTTAGAGTTCCATTAGGATTTGGGATCCTGAATGAGGATAGCTCTAGGGGACTGGGCATAGTGTTTATTTTGAGTGTGGGGACACTATACATCAGAGGGTCCTCATCCCACAATACCCCAAGGGCAATTTCTTAATAGAGATTTTAGGATTGAGCCCCACTGCCAAGCCACAATAGCTGGCAAGTAACTATGAGGTCTCCTTACCTGGGTGTTGCACAGGCCTACGCCACCCAGCTCACTGGGCACTTGCAGACCAAAGGCCCCCAGCTCCTTGAGGCCCTGTAAAGTAGTCTCCTCCACCTTCTCCATCATGTCATTCTTGGCTGGATCATTCACCTCCTGGGGAAGTCACAGGATTCCACATCCAGGCTCCCTTTAATTTCTCTAGCATCCCCGCCCCCTCACCCAACCCTCCCCTCCGTCAGGGACCAAGCCCTCTGTTCCCCAGCCCACCTCGAAGAAACGAGACACAGGTCCCACCAGCTCTTTAAGAAACTGTGTCTGCTCCTCATTGAGTACTGTATGGGAGTCAGGTAGGAGAAAGAAGAGTGGGCAGGTCAGCCTAGGCAGCAAGGCTAGCCACTGCCATCTTCGTCCTCCCCACCCCCAGCCACCCTCCAGGAGCTCCTTCCCTTACCGTCTGGGAACGGAAACACCTGATCGGTGGTGAGCTGGCCCTTGAACATACCCACAGCAAAGGACTTTGATTCCTGAACACGGACAAAGGGGATTTAGTAATCCTGCTGGGGTGGTTCTCCCCTAGCTGAACAACACCCAGCCTCCGGGAGGTAGACACGTACCGCCTTGGCCGGTTTTTCTCTGGTCGAAGCAGCATCGCTGGCGAGGGATTCAGTCTTGTCCAGAACCGCCTGGGGGAAGGGATAATTATCTAAACTTCCGAAATGCCAAGGAGAAGGGAAGAGCTGGGTACCGAGGCTGGGAGGATTCAGCGACCTTTCCTCCAGTTTTTGTCCCAGAGACGCCCTGGCCTGCCCTTTCCCCTACTTTCGGCGCCAGGCCGGCAGGCAG